CCCTCTCTCTTTTTTGATGTAGGAAGAGAGATCATCTGCTTACAGTAAGAAGAGGAAGAGTTAATCAGAGAAAGACAGTGGAGTAGCCAGGCAACACTGGGGATCTATGCAAGGCTGATGACCATAAATTTATATTAGACCCAATGAGCACCACTGTATAACTTCTCCAGGAAAAATGAATTGTTTCTTAATTCCTACTCAAGCAAAGGTTTTATGTTATTTTCACTACTCATTATATATTGTCATTAGAAAATATGAAAACAGGCCAGGAGAGGTGGCTTACACCTTTAACGATTTGGGAGGGCAAAGCAAGAGGACTGCTTGAGGCCAGGAGTTCAAGACCAGCCTGGGCAATATAGTGTGACCCTGTCTCTACAAATAATTTGTAAAAAAAAAAAAATGAGAACACCACACTGAAAGTTTAAAACTTCTAGAAGACAAGGCTAAATTTTACATTTTACCTTAAAAAACATTTTATTTTTTAGATTAAGGGTATATTATCCATGGAAAAAATGAACTCTAGTACACGTGAATAATATTTTTCTTTTCCTGCCTCCTTTCCATCCATCCCTAATCTTTACCCATCTCTTTTACACATAAACCTAGGGTCCAGACTTCTATGCTGAAAAACTGATCTCTTTGAAAAAACTTTTACTTTTTAGGTATATAAAGAATATATTATCCATAGATACACAAATTCTAATACATGTGAAAGAATGAATTTCTTTTTCCCACTCCTTTTCCATCCATCCCTAACTTTCACTTGCCCTCCTTCACTGCCTATGTTCAAATATAAACCTAGGGTAGAGATTTTCATTTTGAAGAATAATTTTTAATGTATTTCCAAAAAGTATGCTTTAGTAAGGTAGATGAATAATGAAATGGATGTATCAGTAAAATCCAAAACATAGCTGGCATGATTTATCTGAAATCTGTAAGCCCAGGCCAGGCGCAGGGGCTCACGCCTGTAATCCCAGCACTTTGGGAGGCTGAGGCAGGCAGATCACCTGAATTGGGGAGTTCAAGACCAGCCTGACCAACATGGAGAAACCCTGTCTCTACTAAAAATATAAAACTAGCCAGGCATGGTGGCGCATGCCTGTAATCCCAGCTACTCAGGGGGCTGACACAGGAGAATCGCTTGAACCCAGGAGGCGAAGGTTGTGGTGACCCGAGATCATGCTATTGCACTCCAGCATGGGCAACAAGAGTGAAACTCCATCTCAACAAAAAAAGGGGGGAGGTGGGTAGGAACACTTAACCATAAATAAAAACTCTAATCACTTAGCATTCATTAGAGGGCACTGTTTTCCTTAATTTCATGTAGACTGTAAAAGATGCTCTTAAATGATAGCTTAAAAAATTACATGGTGATTAAATCAATTTTTACTCCCCATTGGAACAAATACAACCTCAAAATTTTTCCTAAGTACCAATCTTTGATAAAAATTGATAGCCAAAGAAAACTTTGACCTGACAATCAAATGGCAAAATCATCCCAATAAAAATGTCTTGGCCAAGCACAGTGGCTCACGCCTGTAATCCCAACACTGTGGGAGACTGAGGCAGGTGGATCACTTGAGGTCAGCAGTTTGAGACCAGCTTGGCCAACACGGCAAAACCCCGTCTCTACTAAAAATACAAAAATTAACCAGGCATGGTGGCATATGCCTATAATATCAGCTACTCAAGAGACTGAGGCATGAAAATCACTTAACCAGAGGCAGAGGTTGCAGTGAGCCGAGATCGCGTCATTGTACTCCTGCCTGGGTGACAAAGTGACACTCTGTCTCTCTCTCTCTCTCTCTCTCTCACACACCCCCCCCCCAAAAAAATGTCTTAAGTAGTGATGCTGAATTATGATAATCATAAGCTTATACCAAAATCAAGTCTGTGTTATACTTTTTACCATATTTATATATTGGTGAATGTCAAATAACAATGTGCTCATGGTATATACAGCATAAAGTGATTTTATTTTTTTAGAGTATGTAACCAAAATATTTTTTAGAATATCTAACTGGAGTATCTAACCTGACCCACTTGGGCCAGGTGCTGTGGGGTGGCTCACACCGATAATTCTAGCACTTTGGGAAACCAATGCAGAAGGACTGCTTGAGGCCAGGCACTGGAAACCAGCATGGGCAACACAGTGAGATGCCATCTCTACAAAAAAAAAAAAAGTTTTTTAATTAGCTGGGTGTGGTGATGTACACCTGCAGTCCTAGCTACTCAGGAGCCTGACATGTGAGAATTGCTTGGGCCCAGGAGTTCAAGATTACAATGAGCTATGATCGTGCTACCTCATTCCAGCCTAGGTGACAGAGTTGGACCTTGTCTCCAAAGAAAATAGTTCCATTACATAATAATATATAAAGGCTGGATGCAGTGGCTCACGCCTGTAATCCCAGCACTTTGGGAGGCCGAGGCAGGTGGATCACTAGAGGTCAGGTGTTCAAGACCAGCCTGGCCAACATGGTGAAATCACATCTCTACTAAAAATACAAAAATTAGTGGGGCATGGCGGTGCATACCCATAATCCCAGTTACCTGGGAGGCTAAGGCTGGAGAATCGCTTGAACCCGGGGAGGCGGAGATTGCAGTGAGCCAAAATTGCACCACTGCACTCCAGCTTGGGTGACAGAGCAGGACTCCGTCTCCAAAAAAAAAAAAAAAAAAATAATAATAATAATAATAACAACAATAATGTAAAAAAGGAGATACATCAACTGCTAGCAATCCAAGAGTCATCATCAATTTCTCTTCCTTCAGGTGCAAAGTCCAACTGGATATTAGGTGGTATTTTATCCCTTCCTGGTCCCTAGGATTTATGTTCTACTTTCTATTTCCATCTGATTGCCACATCACCCTTAATTTTGAATAAATTCCTAATTCTCCTTGCCTCTAGTCTTTCTCTCTAATTCATTGTTTGTACTTTTCCTAAAGCTAATGCTATGAAACAAAAATGTGATCATGTCAGCCCCTGTTTAAATAAATACCTTTGATGTCTTCTCATTACATAGGAAGAAGTCCAGACTCCTTGGCCTGACATCTAAGGCTTCATTCTGGATCTGTCCTGTCCGTTCAAGCCATAGCTTTTATATTATTCCATATTACCCTTCATATCAGTTCTAATTTCCCAAACATGACATACACACCCAAACCTCTGGGTTTCAGTTTTAGTACACAAATTTTCCTCTGCTTAGAACACCCTTCATTCATAGACCATTTTTAACTGACAAATTTCTGCCCATCCTTCTAGGACCAGCACAACTGCTATCTCTGTAAGTTTGTAACTTACCAAGGCATTTTACTTCCTGCCTCTTTTGTTGTCCCAAAGCACTTTATATGTATCTCTACTATAGGACTATCATCATCCAAAAGAGATTCTCACATAAACAACCACCTGAATTTATGTTAAAGTGATACTGCAATAAGAAAAATTATCCTTTGAATAAATGGTGCTGGGTTAATTACTAAATATTAGGAAAATGTATTTGTAAGACATGTAATGACAAAGGTCCTTTATACCAAATATACTGAAAAATTCGTATAAACCAATAAGAAAAGACAGAAAACCCAATAGGAAAGAGAAGAAAAACAGACTTGGGTAGTTAATTCACAAAGAGAATATCTAAATATAAACATGTAAGAAACATATGATGAATAATAAACACATAGAAAGGTGTTCAACTTAGTCATCAGACAAATGCAAAACAAAACCAAGAGACCACTATCAACTCACTAGAAAAGTTAAAATAATAATTTTTAAAAGACATTATCAAAAGTTGGCAAGGAGAACAACCAGAACTATTATATGCTAGTGATGGAAGTATAAGTTGGTACAACCACTCTGGAAAGCTGTTGACAGTATCTAGGGAAGCACAACATACACATACAATATAATGAAACAATTCCACTCCTAGGTAAGCACTCAACAGAAATGCTTACATATGTTAACCAAAAAACATGCACAGCAATGGTGATAGAAGCATTATTTGGTAATAGCCAAAAACTGAAAACAACCAGAATGCCCATCGACAAGAGAATGGATAAAGTACAGTACACTCATGAATGGAATATTATGCAACAATGAAAATGAACTATCTATAATTACACGCAAAAATAGGGCTGAAACTCGCAAACGTAACACTGAACAAAAGAAGCCAACCACAAAAATAATACATATGTATAACTTACATACATACTGGGATACATATTGTGCAATATATATATAAACTTTATATAAGTATATAATTCTATATATTTATATAAAATATATTTTAATATAATTACATATTCATAATTACACAAAGCTCAGAAGTTTTAATAAGGATAATCAGAAAGATAATATTACACATCTAAAAAATAAATAAGAATATATGTGAATGGGATTTAAACAGATCCACATATCAAAACATACTATAAAAACAGTATGATCAGAACAGTGTCACACGTATGTGTAAAACTAATCTTTAGCATCAGAAGGCAGAGAGTATGGCTACAGTTGAGGAAGTGAGGAATACTAAGCAAAGAGAAAGGGAGTAGCACGGGGTTTCTGAGATTTCTGAAATTTTCTTTTACTGATCCAGGTACTAGTTACACAGGTATGTTAACATTTCAAAAGTTGGTTGAGCTGTACAATTATGGTTTGTGTACTTCTCTGTATATCTAGTATATATTAATACGTATGTTTATCCAGCACATATCTAGTATATCTATATATCTAGTATGTATTTATATATCTAGCACGTATTAATATTTACCAAAAATAAAATATAATATACCTTAAATCCTATTCCAATATGCATTCTATTGAATGCATCTTAAGGGTTCCAATAAACCTTTAAGAATGGGAAATAATAAAATCGAGAAGGCAATATAATAAAATTTAGCTATTCCAAGGTCAAATATAAAAGTTAATTCAAAATGTTTACACCCAGAAGAATCAAACAAGCAGATCTGATTGATGGTGGAGGTACAGGAGACCAAAAACTTACTAAGGAAGCTCTACGAGACCTTCGACTCATTGGTTGGTCAAATGGTGGACTGTTAATCTGCAACTTTTCAAGATACCCATCAGGTATTCTGATGTCTGCAGGCAGCGATAACCGCTTATTTAAATCCTTAAAAAAAAAAAAAAGTAATCAAAAATAGAAAAGGCAAGGGCATTTGGCTTTTGTATTCATAGGCTCTAATATATTATTTCTTAGCGATAAGTAACTGTAAAGTTTTATTGCAGTTGCAATGTTACCTACATGGATTATATGTGACACACTCATGGCAAAAACATTTACTGTAAGCAAACATATACAGCGAAGTGTTACAGAAATGAAATTTTGCAACCCCAGTAATTTTTAAGTCCTTTCACTGGTAAATTAAACTTGAAATTTACTTTAAAATTATTATAGTAAGAATAGGCAAAGACTACCACAAACTCTGTGATCAGTTTAAATAACTAACCAAGTACATAAGATCCTGTATGCAACATGGGGAAAGAGAATTATATTTATTACTGCCATGTTAATGGCATTTCTACTTTATTTAATTATACAATGTGAGCTGGGAGAAACTTGAAAAGAATCTTGCCTATATCATCACATCAAGAAATTTAAGCCCTATAAAAAGAAATTCCTCCTATTCATAATAGCAGCCAAATCATGAAACAGAATGGAGAGGTATAGGAACTGCATAAATATTTACTGAGAAATATAAGACTTAAGTATAAAAACATACAATGCCACCAAATGGTAAGAATAAGTAATGAAAAGATACTTGTCCTCCCTATATTAATCTTATAAGTTATATAACCACTAAGAAAACACAATAAGCTTATTCTTAGAACAAAATAAAATGCCTAAAATGTATCAATAATAGAATAAACAGAAAAAAATCCAAAAATCTTCTATAATAAGAAAGAGTATATATGTATATGGGGGAGAGATACAAAAATAAGTCTTTCCAGATATTAAAATATACTATAGATCAGGTGCAGTGACTCAAGCCTGTAATCCTAGCACTTTGGGAAGCCAATATAGTGAAACCCAGTCTCTAAAAAAAAAATACAAAAAAATTAGCCAGGCGTGGTGGTGTGTGCCTCTAGTCCCAGCTCCTTGGGGGGCTGAGGTAGGAGGATCACTTGAGGCCAGGAGGTTGAAGCTGTGGTAACCTGAGATCCCACCACTGTACTCCAGTCTGGGTGACAGAATGAGGCCCTGTCTCATAAAACAGAAAAAAATACATACTATAAAAAGAATATAATCTAGAGCATGCCTCCTTAGTGGTGGGGAAACAAATTACAGCTCAATGAAGAATGAGAAACTCCAGATACAGACCCTAATACTAAATAAAACAAATGATTTTAAAAATCATCTATAAGGTGAAGAAAAATAAGAAATATTTTCATTAGTATTGTGTCACATAAATATATCATTGATTTCAACAATTGAAAATATTAATTTATCATTTAGAAAACTGGTAAGTTTTCCTTAACTGATCAAGATGCAATCCTTTTATAATGAAAATATAACCAACCAATAGGACAGATACCCTAATCATCATTTCAACAGCATCAAAAAAGCAACAATACTTTTATTTCAAAACATGTTCAATTTTTTTTGCAGAAACCTATTTTAGTTTACAGTATGTACTGAAATAACAGTCACGATCAACTTATATCCTCAAGGTTATACCACAACGCTTACAAAGCAAAGAAAATGAATTCTTCATCCTTTTACATGGAGAAATAAATGTGCTTCAGAGACTAGTAGGTATAGTGAACCACAAAGGAAAGGACACCCACTTTTATAATATAATGCAAGAAAAAAAGCTGTGTATTTTATTTATACCTCTTAAAATCTGAAAGAGAAAATAAAATGCTAATTACCCAAATGAATCTCAAAAATATAATTAAAATAATATTTTCTAAAAAGAAGACATTGCTAATATATCAACCTGTATTTCTAGAATTTTTGAAAATTCACTTCTCCTTAATGGAGAAACTAAAATAACGTTTCACCAAAAATTAAAATAAATGTTTCACAGAATGTGAGCAACTATAATACTGCATATCTATGTTGGGATAAAAATGTAAAGAGTGGAAATATTCGCAGACTGCAATTTATGAATGCAAAGAAGTAACTTTCTTACAAGTGTCACGTGTCTTCATGAAAATTTTTAAATGGGCATATACGATACATACATATCGAGTGGAGTAAATATATGTAAAATATACCAACACACATATTCACAGGTATATTTGTATTTTTTAAATGATTACCTCCATTGAGATCCGTCTATGTATACGATTTCTGAGACAAACACCTGTAGGTGATTGGACTTCATCAGATGATGTCCCAGAAGCTTGGTCACTCTCACCATCTGATCCCATTTTCAGATTTTCATGAACAATATCTATATTAAAAAATGAAACATTAAAAGAGATACACTATATTCTAATATATAATTTATTATCACTATGGGTAAACTATGGAAGGCCAACAAGTAAAAATCATAGCATAAAAGTCATTTACATTCTGGATGCCACAGGTATGCAGTTAGTAGATGAAAATATGACTCAAATGTCTTAAAATAGTAGTATGAAATTTTTTTACACTTTCAAATTATGAAAAAAATTAACATTCAAGTTATTATCAAGGGTTGAGTAATATAATATTACTATAATAAAATATATTATATTGAGTATATAATATAAACTGCAAATAATATCTCTGAGAGTGAGTCAGTGCTCTCATTTTCTAGATCTGGGAACTGAGACTTGAAAGGTTAAATGACTTTCAAAAGGTCACAAGGCTTGGACGCAGAGCTAGAATAGACGCCTGGTCATTTGCCTCTTATTTAGTATTCTTTCCATTAAATAATGTGTCACTGGGTCTATGGTCAAATGGAGCTAATTCTTTCAATGCTCTTTAAAACACCTCTTAAAAGCTGCTAATGCAGTTTCTCCTCCCTGCACCCTCAGCGTTAAAAATAAAACAAAAAATTATTTGCTGAATATCTGCTTTGGACGAGAACTATAAAAACAAGTTTATGATCTTCAAATACTCAAAATCTGTTCAGAGCAAAAACATATTACAATAAAGGTGGGTTATGGTATGTTTAATAGAGATAAAAGTTAAATGGAAGTAGGGCGAGGAAGATAAATTCCATTTGAAAATATTAAAAACAAACTTATATACTGTTTTCTTTTTTTTTTTTTTTTTTTGAGACAAGGTCTTGCTCTCTTGGCCAAATCGGAGTGCAGTGGCACAATCATGGCTCACTGCAGCCTCTACTTCCCAGGCTCAAGCAATCCTCCTGCTTCAGCCTCCCAAGTAGCTGGGAGTACAGGCACCCACCACATCTGGTGTTTTGTTTTGTTTTATTATTTTTTTATTTTTATTTTATTTTTATTTTTTATTTTTGTAGAGACAAGGTTTTGCTGTGATATTCAGGCTCATCTTGAACTTGTAGCAATTTATGCCTAGTGTTCCATTACTGGAACACTAAGTATGTGGGAGTTACTTATATCCTACTGCTCAAGGTCATCACCAAGGTCTGATTGCAAAAATTCAAAAAACTGCAACTTCAGGAATCCACCCACCTTGGCCTCCCAAAGTGATCGGATTATAGACATAAGCCACCACACCCAGCCAAGTTACATACTTATATACCTGCATTTGTCAGTCATTCTCTAATAACCTAGCAAGAAGAGTATACCAGAAACAAATGCTAGATCTCTAGAACTCCTCTCTTGCCACTATTACTTTCTATACACATATTCATTTTCCAAAAAGAACTATGTTGTTTCACGCTGCATTGCTTTAACACATGCTTTTTCTCATTTTTAAAAGATGCCTTTTCCTATTTTATCAACCTTGTGAGATCAGGCTTAGTCTTCAAAACTATGCTCATGTGTCATCACTCAGTGAAGTCTTTTCTAATCTCAGACACAGTTGACTACTGTGCCCCCACCCACTGCACTGAAGAACACTTTTTTGTGCATATGATTTTATAAGATCCTTGGGGATGGGATTTAGCTTGCTCACTTTTCTATTTCCAGAACTTAACCAACCGTCTGGCACTTAGAAGGTGCTTAACAAGTATTCAAGGGAACTGCATATTAACTAACAATCAAAGAATGGCCTAGATAACTAGATCTCTTTTTCAAATGAAGTTATATGAAATATCAATGTGTGAGACAATTAAAAATAGTATTTTATAAGTATGTTAACTTTTTAAAATATTTACATATAAAATTACGAGAACTGCTTAGATTAAGGAGAAATATGAACTCATGGGTCTCATATCAACTCTATCTTAGAACTCACTTTATGTCTGTATTTTTGTCTTGGTTAACTCAATATTGAGAAAACAATTAATATTCATAAGCAGTTGCAAATGATAATGGATTTTTAATAGCTCAATATGTAATCTAAGAATACACTTCAGTCAGTTATGTTGAGATTTCTGGAGAAATTTTATAGTGATACGTGAACAAAAAATTAATTTGGCAGCAAAAGTAATGTATTGGTGATTCATTCCTAACCTCTTAAAATTTGGTATGTAACACATCTGAGGTCACATAATCTTTTCTGTCACACTTTCAAAATGTTAAAAATAATTTAATGATGCCTTCCATTTCTAGTGAGATACGAAAATCTTCCTTTCCTCAAGAAAATGTTGACTAAAATATAATATTTTAAAACGTAGAGCTGAATGTGCAAAAATGTATCAATAATACCTAGGAAGCAAAAACAAAGAGAGGACTGAAAACCCAAAGCTGTTATGCATAAATTGACTCTTATCACTGTCTTGGGAGAGGCTGCTGATCTTGATGAGAAGGTCCCTGGGTTTACCTTCCACACTGGGATAAACAATGAAGCCCTGGGTTTCTGAGTTACAAGTGAGACCTTCCTACAGAAAGGCTCAACTCCCAAAGTGCTACACCTTTGAGACTTAAAGAGTACACTTAAAAAAAAATCTGTCCTGTTGCACAAGGAACTGGATGACAAAGAAAGCTTACTAATCTCAGACTGAATAAATACTTGAGTACCATCTGACCCAAATAAGAAATTACTCATGTCATTAACAAACAAGCATAGTTCTGACATGATTACCAGTTGGTATTTTCATTTCCATCAAGACAAATGTGAAACAATGAAGGCTTGTTAGAACTTTACTCATCTGTCGGGGGGAGAGGGATATCTTTGCTGATCAGGTAATGTAACAGCTGCATATACAATATACTTTTCTCCTTCAGCACAATACCCTTTAAATTTAATCTGCATTACTAACATTTTCAATACACTGTCTTAATTCTAGAGCAAAGGTCTAGAACAAGTGTGGCTTCTTTTTATATGGCCCATGAGCTAAAAATGTTTTTTGTATTTTTAAAGGATTATTAAACAGAGAAGAATATGCAATGGAGACTATATGTCCATAAAACCTAAAACATTTATTACTAACTGTCCCCTTAAAAAAAGGGTTTGCAAACCCCTGGTCTAGATAAACAAGAAAACAATAAGCCAAGGCCTGATCTATAGTGTTTTCTGACCTCTCTCTCCATGGACAACTTCAGGCTACCAACATGACAACACTGACCATATGGTTGGGAAGAAATGTGCAGTAGCACACCATCATATAGTGTTTTTGAACATAGAGCTAGAATAGAAAAAATAATCCCAGTGGCATAGATAATAGTTAGAAGTGGTAAAAAATTAGGAAGCAACGACTTTTGAGTATTCATTACCTTTGTTTTTAATTTAGTTTACTTATTTGTAAACTTATATAATTTAAAAGTTAATATCTGTTTAACAACCAGTTTGCAAAGTTCCTGAAAATTTAACAATCATCTCTCATGAACTAGTGTGAGCCAACTCCAGCACACCATTCTGTAGAGATACACCTACAGAGATAAAGGCAATATGCATTTCTCATAGAAAAAAACCTCACTGTAGATAAGCTCATACTCCCAAAATTAAAGAAACACATTTGGAAATAATATACTATACGAAGAGTAAGCACATAAAATGAGCAGTAGAATAAAACCCCTAGGAACTTCAGTAAATATAATTATCTAAGAAGACTATAAAATAGTTAAAGTGATTTTTAAAATCAAAACATAATAGGACAGGTGTGGTGGCTCATGCCTGTAATCCCAGCACTCTGGGAGGCCAAGGCAAGTGGATCACTTGAGTCCAGGAGTTCAAGACCAGCCTGGGCAACATAGTGAGACCCTGTCTCTTTAAAAAAAAAAAAAAAAAAAAAATTAGCCAGGCGTAGTGGCATGCACAGGTAGTTCCAGCTACTCAGGAGGCTGAAGTGGGAGGATCATTTCAGCCTGAGAGGTCAGGGCTGCAGTGAGCCTCAATGGCTCCACTGCATTTCCCTCCAGCCTGGGTGACAGAGGGAGATGCTGTCTCAAAAAAAAAAATAAAAATAAAAACATAAAGACATCATCAAAAAAGGCCAGAGGAATAAACAAATATAAACAGAAACTTGCAAATTTTTTTTCTTGGATATTTAAAGATGTAATGACAGAAGAAGAAACAATTTGGCTGATAACCATATATACTAATCATTGCACTAGGCTTTATATGGTGATGATCTGAAAAGTTACTGAAGCATGACCCTAAAATAAACACCATCCCAAATTGCCATTCATCTTGAAATACTGCATCCATTTATTACGGGTTTCATTTCCCTCCTGATGGACAGGTTTTTCAAATATTACTTCTCTGTACTGTCAGCACTACTACCTCTCTAGAACTTTCCATCTTTCTGCTATTCCTCTTGATCTCAACTTGATTTTTATCTGACAGAAGAAACCAGATAATAAAAGTTGCTGACTTTTATACAACTAAAACTTAACAATTTACGTGACGTATAATCAGAAAGGTAAACACAATAGACGAGTAATCAAAGTACCTAATCTGCTTCCATTTCTAGGCATTGCCATGAAGGAACCAAGGCTCCCTCCAATAACACTGTGTGGTCTCCGCAATGGGGGCTTCTTGAAAGATCCTGTGTACTGGTGGAGGAAGGAATGCATGCTGTGAGACGTTGGAGGCCTGCCATTCTTCACAATAGGCTCTGTGGTTCGTAGTATTCAAAAATCATTCCATCATCAGCCCAAGATCCAGGATCACATGAGAAGGATTGAGAAAGCAAAACAGAAAGCAAATCAAAAAGTTGTAACAGAGATTATTACATTTAGCCTAACTGCTTTGCTTACCTATACACAGTACTAAAATTAAAATCGTTTCTCTGAAAAAAAAACTTAAGAAAATACTTGAATATTTTAAGTTGGTCTAATAACCATCCATTTCTTACATAATCAAAAGTGGCTAAGAACCACAAAACTACTAATATACCCAACCAAATTTTCATCCATTTGTTTATTTTAGTGTATCTCAAGAATGTTTCCATACCACTCCTCCATTTACTGACTACCTGTGTGCCTTATTTTAAGCATGCTTGGCTGCGCACGTGGCTCACAACTGTAATCCTAGCACTTTGGGAAGCCAAGGCAGGCAGATCACCTGAGGTCAGGAGTTTGAGACCAGTCTGACCAACATGGTGAAACTCCATCTCTACTAAAAACACAAAAATTAGCTGGGCGTGATGGCATGCGCCTGTAGTCCCAGCTATTCAAGAGGCTGAGACAGGAGAATTGCTTGAACCGGGGTGGCAGAGGCTGCAGCGAGCCGAGATTGTGCCACTGCACTCCAGCCTAAGCAACAGAGCAAGACTCCGTCTCAAAGAGAAAAAAAAAAGAAATTAAGCATGCTTTAGAATATAAAAGGATGGTCCCGGTCTAAAGGAATTTACATCCCTGTTTGCTGGACATTCAAAATTGTATGTCAATTAGTGAATAAAACAGAATACCTAAATACATATCAATACAGAGGCTCCAAGTTTATTCCCCCGAATTTGGGATTAATATAAAGAATTTTTAAACAATCACGGACCCATAACCAAGCAGAAACATTTAAAAAATATAATACTTAAAAGCTATTTAATTATGCATGGGGGAGAACCTGTTTTGTAATGTTTACTGGAAATCTCACGACTCCTTTCCACCTCCAAAGAAGAGCTCTGATACAGGTTAAAGATACGTCTTGTGATACACAATTTATCTTCTATATTAGAATTCTGTTTTTACTGATAGCAGCCAAGGAGTTTTAAAAAGAACTGGGCTGCTCTGAATACATTCTTTTTAAAATGAAGCCAACTATTCTTCTGTAGCTAACAATCAAGCATAAGGATACCTCCTCATCAGGGGATTCCTCTGCCTGTAAAGGTTTCTCAACCAAGGACAGGCTGACAGGAGGAGCTGGCTACAAGCCTTAAAGTGAAAGGCTTTTCTCACAAGAAAATGCTAGGATCCGAAGAACAGGACCAGGGTATGGGCTCCAGAAAAATGGGCCAAGAAGGCCATGTGGCCTGAGCCTCTACTAGTACTGGTTGCCTGCAAGTGTAGAGGAAGGATGGGGCATGAGGGCCCAAAGGCTCACTCAAGGTCCAAGCTATCTAATCTGGGTCAAAGACCAGATTGGAGGTAGGGGCAAATGTCTACCTAGTAATACAGAACACGTGTCTAAAGTTTCCTGTGATCTGTACATTCCTTGGAAGTACCTGATAAAGAATTTGGGGGTCTTAAGTCTAGCAAAATAATCAATGATTTAATAATGAATAAGGAGGGGCTATCTGATATAAATGCATAAACAAATTACAAACAATGTGAGATAATACAAGCTATAGCATACAATAAGATTCTTCTCAGCCAAGCATGATGGCATGCACCTGTAGTCCCAGCTACTCAGGAGGATAGAGTGGGAGGATCTCTTGTGCCCAGGAGTTTGAGGCTGCAGTGAGCTAAGATAATGCCACTGCATTCCAGCCTGGGTGGCAGAGTAAGACCCTGTCTCAAGAAAGAGGAAAGAAAAATGAAGACTTTTTTCTCTTTCTAGATCATTTCACGTAAATAATTTGTAAAATATTAAATACAAATTATGCAAATACTTTGCCTACAGACAACACTTTAGTTGCTCTGTAAAGCTGTCCTGGAGAATATAGCTTAATTGTTCTGGAGAATATAGGAAAAAAATGGGGATCATAAGGACATACTATTTGATAAACACTACTCTAGGCACTGGGCATCAACTGGTGAACAAAACAAAGTACTATTCTCAGAGTGCATAAAACCTAATAGGGAAAAAAACACACACACGAAGTCAGGTAATGACAGGCAATATGCAAAAGACTAAAATAGAGGGATGTGAAAATGAGTAGCTAGTTATTTTACACTGTATACTGAGGAAAGTTCTCTCTGCTGAGATAATTTTAACAGAAATTTAAATGCAAGGAAGAGCCAGTCAGGGAAGATGGGTAAGTTGTGGATAACAGAATATTCCAGATAGAGAAAAAAGCTACTGCAAAAGCCGACATATGGCAGGGTTTGACTTGTTAGAATAGTGGTCCTTAAACTTTAACATGCTTCAGAATCATCTTTGAGGATCTGTAAAACATGATTGCTGGGTCTCACCCACAGACTTCCTGGTTCAGTAGGTCTGGGGTGGAATCTAAAAATATGTGTTTCTAACAAATTCCCAGGCCCTGCTGACATTGCTGGTCCAGAGATCACACTTTGAGAACCACTGTTAGAGGACTAGAAAGAAGGCAAGTATAGCTAGAGTACCTAACCGTGCAGGGAACAGTGGTACTAGGTGAGACCAGAGAGGTAAGGAGGGAACAAGTCATTCAACATTCATACTTCACCATAAAAGTTTGAATTTTATTCTCAGATTGGAAGCAGTTATGGTAGCTTTGAAGCAGGGGAGTGATATGATCTGATTCATGTTTCAAAAATATCACTGTGAAAGGTTAGAGATAGTAGGAGGTAAGGGGGTAGGGATGACTACAAAAGGGTAACACGAGAGATCTCTTGTCATGATGAAATAGTTATCTTGACTGCAGTGGTTATACGAATCAACACAGGTGAGGACATGACACAGAACTATATTTAGACTTTATTCCAGTATTTATTTCCTGGGTTCTGTAGTTACATAAGATGGAACCACAATGGTGAGGGGGACTGGGAGAACGGTACAAGTATGGGTCCTTTGCATATTATCTTTGTAACTTCCTTTGAATTTGTAATTATTGAAAATAATTTTTTAAGATACCACCTTGGTTGCTGTTTGAAAAACAGGCAATAGGGAACCAAGAGCAAAAGGAGGAGATTACTATAGTACCCTAAGTAACAAATGTTGGTGGCTTAGACTAGGATAGCTGTACTGAAGACGGAGGGAAGCAGACAGATTTAGGACATATTACAAAGGCAGAAGCAACAGGCCAGCAGACACGATTGCTAAATTAGTTTCACACACACTCCTACCACCCAGCTTTTAGTCAGCATTTATAGTAAAAACGTCTATTCAAAGATTTTTTTTTTCTTTTTTTCCAGGCAGGGTCTTGCTCTGTTGCACAGGCTGGAGTGCGGTGGTGCAGTCACAGCTCACTGCAGCCTCAACCACCTGGGCTCATGTGACCTCCCACTTCATCCTCCCCACCATAGCTGGGACTACAGGCACACACCATCACACCTGGCTAATCTGTGTCTTTTTGGTAGAGATGGGGTTTTGCTATGTTGCCCAGCTAGTCTCAAACTCCTGGGCTCAAGTGATCCTCCTAACCTCAATCTCCCAAAGCACTGGGATTACAAGGAGCCACCATGCCTAGCCTCAAAATATTTTTAAATCTTTGCCAGATCAACTGTTAAAAATATATGAAACATGATTTATTAATGGACTATAATTGGAATTGCGCATCAGTCACATCGATCAGGGGTCCCCAACTCCTGGGTCACAGACCAGTACTGGTCCATGGCCTGTTACGAACCTGGCCAAGAGGTGAGCAGTGGGCGAGTGAGCAAAGCTTCATCTGTATTTACAGCCACTCCCCATCACTCACATTACTGCTTGAGCTCCACTTCCTGTCAGATCAGTGGCAGCATTGATTCTCACAGGAGTACTAACCCTGTTGTGAACTGTGCATGCGAGGGATCTAGGTTTTGTGCTCCTTATGAGAGTCTAATGCCTGATGATCTGTCACTGTCTCCCACCACCCTCAGATGGGACCATCTAGTTGTAGGAAGACAAGGGCAGGGCTCTCACTGATTCTACATTATAGTGAGTTATGTAATTATTTCATTATATATTACAATGTAATAATAACAGAAATAAAGGGCACAATAAATATAATATGCTTGAATCATCCTGAAACCATCCCCCCAACCTCAGTCTGTGGAAAAACTGTCTTCCACAAAACTGGTCCCTGATGCCAAAAAGGCTGGGGACCTCTGATACAGATGACTATCGTAATCATGAGTTTGTAAAGGTTATTTATGTGGTAAAAAATTGGAAGCCACAATGGTGGCGGTTGGGGGCAGGGAGGAGACAACAGGAAGGTAAAGGAGAGAAAAGAATCAGGGACAACACCTAGATTTTTAGTTTTAGTAACTGGTTAAGTGAGGAAAGTTTGAGGAGAGGCAGATTTTGGAGAAAGGAAATCAAGAATTCTGATTTGGTCATACGAAGTCTAAGATTCCCATTACACATCTATGTGGAGAAGACAAGAAGGCATTTAAATATGAATCTAGAGATCCAGATGAAGAGCCTAACTGGAGATTCAGACTTAGCAGTAGTCAATATATATATGGCAGCAGAAATTATAGGATTGGATGAGGTCACCCAAGGAGAGGGTATAGATAGAGAAGAGATTGTAGCCCATGAGAGAGCCACAATAAAACAGAATAAACTGTTCTAACACTTCCAGATCTTGAAAGTAATTAACTGGCCAATTCAATAATAACACTAAGGGAAATAAGTCTGACACAAAAGGACAAATATTATATGGTTCCATTTATATGAGGTACCTAGAATAGGCAAATTCATACACAGAAAGTAGAATTGTGGTTACCAGGGGCTGGGGAGAGGAGGGAATGTGGAGGTATTGTTTAATGGGTACAGAGTTTCAGTGTCGGATGATGAAAAAGTTATAGACATGGGTAGCAGTGATGGATACACATG